CTAGGAACATAAAATTATGAATAAACATCTGCTATGCTTAAATCCTCATGATCGTGATCTCATCACAGATACTCAAGAGATACCTATTTATTCCAAGGGGTTTATCCAGTTACTCATATAATATATTAACAATAATATTTAGACAAAATATGAAACAGGATAAAGAGTGCTTATTATTTATTTGTGACAATATAAAAAGGTCCACATATGTCCTAATCTAATCAAAAGATTGTCTCTAGGACATCCATATACTAACAAACTCCCACTTGGCCTAGAGCCAATCTGACCTAAGTCGTATACCTAAAGCCTTATAATGACTATCATGTTTTCTCTGAGAAACAACCTTCGTCAGAGAATCGGCTAGGTTATCATCTTTGGGAACATAATCCATCTTTACATCCATTCTATCAATGATTTCTCTAATCAGGTGATATCTACGGAGCACGTGCTTAGATCTTTGATGAGACCTAGGTTCCTTTGACTGCGGAATGGCTCCTGTGTTGTCGCAAAGCAACTGTATGAGCTCATCCACGCTTGGAACCACCCTTAGTTTAGATATGAACTTCTTGATCTACGCGGCCTCCTTAGCCGCTTCTGAAGCAGCTATGTATTCAGCTTCTGTCGTTGAATCTGCTGTTGTCTCCTGCTTGGAACTCTTCCAAGATATTGCCCCACCATTTAAGGTGAATACGAATCCTGACTGTGACTTACAGTCATCTTTGTCACTCTAAAAGCTGGCATTAGTGAATCCTTTCACTGAAAGCTCATCAACCCCACCATAGACCAGAAACGCATCCATAGTTCTTCTCAAGTACTTAAGGATGGTTTTGACTATTGTCCAGTGACCCTCTCTAGGGTCAGACTGGTATCTGCTCGTAATGCTCAAAGCATATGATACATCTGGTCTCGTACATATCATGGCATACATGATGGATCCAATAGCCGAAGCGTATGGAATTTCACTCATGCGATCCTTCTTATGTTGTGACTTAGGACACATAGCCTTTGAAAGATATACCCCATGACTGACGGGAAGAAAACCCCTTTTCGACCCTTTTATGCTAAACCTCTTTAGCATCTTGTCAACATATGTGGATTGAGATAAACCCAGCAGCCTCTTGGATCTATCTCTATAGATCTTTATACCAAGTATAAAGACTGTTTCTCCCAAATCCTTCATGGTGAAGCTTTCTGAAAAGCCAGTCTTTCGTTGTTTGTAATGTGGGGATGTCATTTCCTATTAGCAATATGTCATCTACATAAAGTACCAGGAAGACGACATTACTCCCACTAACCTTCTTGTAAACACAAGGTTCATCCTCGTTCTTGATGAAACCGTTACTCCTAACGACTTCATCAAAACGAATATTCCAACTCGAGTGATATTGTGGAGTTTGTTGGGATTCTTGCTCGATGTGTAAGAGATAATAACTTGATTAAGTGTTGATAGACTGAGTAAATGTCCTTCTAGGAAGGCTTGTGGTGATCGCGATTTAAGTTAAGGTGGTGAACCGTTAGCCTTTAATGAAAGGTAAATTGTGTCGGAGCCATCTACGAATCTATGATAATAGCTGGTACCTAGAAAATGTGTTGGTTAAATAAAAGGTTGAGAACGTTGCCTTAAGGGTAGAGTGACTTGTGGAATATTGTATATTGCATATGCAACTTATGGCGAAAGATGTGTTGAAAAAGCACAATGTTGATGTAGTTTTGGCTAGGTACTAATGATGTATGGTCATGTACTTGTAGTAGCCTTGAATATGTTGAGAGACCGGTATATCCACCGATGTCGAATCTTAAAAGTAATGGAAATTATGGATTTAGTTCCATATGATAGGATAAGTAAGTTTCGAAAATTCCTTTATGATGAGACTTGTAGGTGAGAGATATGATATGGTACCTTCGAATGGTACATCATGGTTAAATGTAATGATTATGAAATTGAGGTATACAGGAATGAAATATATGTGGAAATTGATAGCATGAGTATGGAACGATATGTAAACATAGTTGTTGGTGGAAATCTTAGGCATTGTGCCTTTAATGTGAAAATCAATGATGAATTGTATGTTAAGCCTTGAGATGGCTAAGTTAAATTGTAGGTATGACCTTGTATATAGAAATTCATGAGTGGATTCGTGGTTGAAGGCTTTGAAATGGCCAATATGATATATGAACTGTAATGTGTGGTCCATTAGGTAACAATGAAATGCTTTGAGAAATTGATTCACCGATGTGTTTTGGTGGAATTGAGTAAACATGTAAGGTTAGATGTTGTATTAAGGTACAAAAAAGGTGCCTGTCCTGTATTGAGTGCAGAAGAGGAATTGCACGTTCTTAGATCAAGAACATGGTTAGAAATACATGTAGGTACAACCTGGGGCTAAAGGCCGTAAATGGGAATTATTTCATCTGCGTAAACTATGAGCGTAAACTATATGACTAATCGGTAACATTGCACTGATGAACTGTTGAGATACCGCAAGGGTATTTAATGTGGATTAAGATAATTACAAACTGGGGTTGTATATGTAAAACTTTGTGATAAGTGGTACTGAAAAGGATTTAATGATGAAAGTTCTAGAGTTCGCAGGATTAAAGCTCAATTGAAGGATAATTACTGGATGAAATGTGTCAGAGAGTGATATGTGCCTGTCAGGCACGGATTGAATTGAACTAGATAAGATCCTACGCGGATATTGTTGACAAGCTAACTAGGTTAGCACATTTCCAAAAGAAATTATGGTCTCTATAGGTAAGATAACCCAACTAATGAGGATGAATTGGTCAATCAGAAATAGTTCGCAACTACGGCATTATGTTCCGGATGAATCACATGTGGTGATACCGGATGATATTAAAATTCGCAACTACTGCACCTGTGTTGGTCTTTCCTGATCCTGCGGAGCAGATTGAGTGTTATTGTGACGCCTCTGGGAAGGGGCTGGGCTATGTGCTGATGCAGTTGGGCAGAGTGATTGCATATGCTTCGAGGCAGTTGAAGCCTCATGAGGAGAACTACCCGACTCATGATTTAGAGTTGGCAGCGATTGTTTTCGCTTTCAAGATTTGGAGGCATTATCTGTATGACATGAAGTTTTCCGTGTTCAGTGACCACAAGAGTTTAAAGTATCTGTTTGATCAAAAGGAGCTAAACATGAGACAATGGAGATGGATTGAGTTCTTAAAAGACTACGACTTTGAGTTGAAGTACCTTCCCGACAAGACCAATGTGGTAGCTGATGCTTTGAATTGAAAATCTATGAGCCTATCGAGTTTAATGATGGGTGATTTTGATGTCATTGAAAAGTTTCGAGATCTGACAGTGACCTCTTTGTTTGGGGGTGCACTTCTCGAGATGGAGACTGTGAGAGTCGAGAATGAGCTGATTGAGAAGATCAAAAAGGCGCAGGTACAAAGATAGTGCCTAGATTATGTGAAGAACCAATATGGTGTGTCTTGGAATGAGGATGGTTTGTTGACATTCTAGAAGAGGTTTGTGATTCTTCGAGGTCCATTGACCGAAGATGTGATGGTAGAGGCTCATAAGGGCCAATTCACTGTCCACCTGGTGCGATAGAGATGTATCCGGATTTAAAGAGAAATTTCTGGTGGCCGGGCATGAAGAAAGATATAGTTATTTATGTGTCCAAGTGTTTGATATGCCAGAAAGTGAAAATAGAACACCAGAAGCCGTCTAGTAAGCTTCCACCTCTTCAGATACCGCAGTGGAAATGAGAGAGCATTTCTATGGACTTCGAGGTGGTTTTGCCTAAGACTCAGGCTGGTTGCGACTCTATATGAGTCATTGTGGACAGATTGACTAAGTCTGCCCATTTTCTTCCAGTAAAGGTGAGCTTCACTACTGAGCAGTTGGCCAGACTATATGTTCGCGAGATAGTGAGGCTTCACGGGGTGCACTAGAGTATCATCAGTGATAGGGACCCAAAGTTCACATCTCGGTTCTGGTAGGCGCTGTAGGGAGCTTTTGGTACTCAATTGAGATTGAGTACAGCCTATCACCCTCACACTTATGGACAGACTGAGCGGACCATCCAGACCTTGGAAGACATGTTAAGGGCTTGCACTTTGGAGCAGGGTTCAGCATGGGATAGGTACCTGCCATTGGTTGAATTTTTTGTACAACAACAGTTTTCATGCTAGCCTGGGCATGACACCCTACGAGGCATTGTATGGTAGGAGGTGTCGGAATGCTACCTATTGGTCTAAGGTTGGAGATAAGGAGTTGTTTGGCTTGGATTTCGTCCAAGATACCACCTAGCAGATCCAGATGATCAGGGAGAAGCTGAAGCAGGCGCAGAATCGCCAGAAGAGTTGTTATGATGTTAAGCATCGACCACTGGGGAATTGGAAGACCTTGTGATGGGGGAAGAACCCGGTCAATTTACCAGAATTGGTAAGACCGTTAATCCCAGTATCAAGGAAGAATTAAATCAATTTCTTAAAAACAACACGTATGTCTTCGCGTGGAAGTAATCCGAGATTCCAGGCATTGATCCAACATTTTGCTGCCATAAGTTGGCAATTTATCCTGGATCAGCGCCAGTAGCACAAAAGAAAAGAAAATTGGAGCCAAAAAGGAAATAGGTCTTCGAAGAGCATGTCAAGGAGTTACTAGATGCTGAGTTCATACGTGAAGTCCAATATACGACTTGGCTCGCCAACATCGTTATGGTGAAAAATCCTAATGGAAAATGGAGGGTCTGCAGGGATTATACAGACCTAAATAAAGTGTGTCCGAAGGACTCCTACCCTATGCCTAACATAGACTAGCTAATGGATAACTCGACTGGATTTCAATTGTTATCTTTCATGGATGCTTATTCCGATTACAATCAGATCCCAATGTACCCGGAAGATCAAGAAAAAATAGCCTTCATTACTTCGGGCTCAAAAACTCTGGGGCTATATACCAGAGGATGATGAATAAAGTGTTCAAGGATCAACTCGGCAAAAACATCAAAGTATACATAGACGACATGATTGTTAAGTCGTTTGATATAGCGAATCATGTCCAATATCTGGAACAAACATTTCAGAAGCTCAGAGACTACCGTATTCGTCTGAACCCGATAAATGGAGTCCCAGTAGGAAAGTTCCTGGATTTTATGTTGACCCATAGAGGGATTGAAGCAAATCCTGACAAATGCAAAGCGGTACTTGATATGAAAGCTCCTCAAAGCAAGAAGGAGGTTCAGCAACTGACTGGTAGACTGGTTGCTTTAATCCGGTTCCTACCCAAGTCGGCTGAAAATGCCCTGCCATTCTTCAAGTTGTTGAAAAAGGAAGTTGTGCAAGGTTGGAACCCGGAATGCCAATCCGCGTTCGATAAAATTAAGAAATGTTTGGAAGCATCACCAGTACTATCTAAGCCCATTAGGTTTCTATATATTGTAGACACATGTACCTATTCAATATACAGATTATTTCACAATTCCTTTCGTCTCTTGTTATTCAATACGATTATTAGGTTATTTTCGCCGGAATCTATTATTCGGAACAGTAACCAAAGTGCCACATTTTTTATAATTTTTTACTCAAATGCCACGCGAATAATATTTTTTACCAGACTACTGCGCGTCGAAGTTCATTACAACTTGTAGCTAATTTGGTTAGGCCATATGGCATGTTTCTATTAGCGTACAACATACCAAATTCGCTATCACTAGTAGTAAACTTAGTCTAGTCAACTTTTCCTGTAAAAGTATGTCACTTGTCATGAAATTATAGACTAACCAAGTTCACTACCAGTCCTAATAAATTTTGACGCGTAATAGTCTAGTCAAAAATACTGTTCGTGTGACTTTTAAAAAAGAAAATTAGAAAAAATATGACATTTTGGTTAGTGTTGCCCGTTATTTTGCATTGATTAAAGATAAAATATTATTTAATATATTTTCTCCGTATATTAATGTACAACTAAATCCTTATAAGTTTAACCCGACGTGCCACTTCTTACACGCTTTCACACGCCCTTATGAGTCTTAAGACTACCAAGACCTCCCTAGTCCCTACTCCAAAGAAGCACAAACCTCTGAACCATAACACATCAATATTAAAATTTACTGGGAAGTTCACAGCATTATCTCTTGAACCAAACATGTCTTTGTTCCTGTACCTCTTTCTGAAAGTGCAAATCTTCCTCATCTGTGCTTCTCCATCTCTTTCCTCTATCACTGAGCTTGACACTCTGATGGCAATCAAAGACTCCATAGACCCAGAAAACCGTGTGTTGATATCATGGACACCCCATTCTGACCCATGTAGTGATGCTTTTGAGGGTGTGGCTTGCAATGAGCAAGGTCTTGTTACTAATATTTCATTGCAAGGAAAGGGTCTATCTGGGAGGATACCTGCTGTCGTGGCTGGTCTCAAGAGCTTGACGGGTCTGTATTTGCACTTCAATGCTCTGAATGGGATATTACCAATGGAGATTGCAGGTTTGACTGGATTAAGTGATTTGTATCTCAATGTGAATAATCTGTCTGGTGATATCCCTCGTGAGATTGGCAATATGTCAAATCTTCAAGGTGGGTTGCTGATTTTTCTTGTAAATTTCTTATCTATGCTCTTTTCTTGTCTCTCTAGCCTTGTGCTTATGTTTTTGAGTATGTATATTCTATATTTTTTTGACAATTTAGGTCCTATAAAATGGACTTTTATAATTTTTTAGTTTCATTCTCTGCTTCTTATCCTGTCCATGAAAATTAAATTATTAATAGAGGAGGAACTTTTTAGTACTCAAATTTGGTCCTTCTTTGGCCATGTGGGTATTTTGGGTCACTCTACATTTTATCATGACTGGCCATTTCAGTACTCTCTGGAGGTAAATCTTCATTTCTCTCTCTGTCTGTGTCTTCTTAATGTATTTCATTTTACTTTTCTCTTTTGGTTGAAGTTAAACTCATGAACTTATATTTACTTGTTTGTTATTTACTCTGTCATTTTGAACTCTGTAGCTTGGTGGATGAAAGAGGATGCCTTGTTTACTTGAGGTGAGAGAAGAAAGATGAAATGATAACAGGAGCGAAAGAAAAAGAGAGGGTAATAAAAGATTGATTGCTTTAGAGCAAAAAAACTCCGAGGAACTGCATATGTATTAACATATTCTATTCTATGAGACGGATCATTTGTTTTTAATTTCTACACTCTTTGTTTTCTTCTTGTGTGAATATTCTCGTCTCATCTATTTGAAAGTTGTAACAATTGTGTCTTGCATTTTATTTTTTTATTTTTTTTTGAAAATAGCTCAAAATTGTTCTAATCTGTTAGGAGCTCGCAGTTTTGCAGCTTTGTTATAACGAGTTTACTGGGAGTATACCAAGAGAAATGGGAAAGTTAAGGAAGCTGAGTGTTCTTGCTCTGCAGTATAATCAATTAAGTAGCGCAATTCCTGCAAGTTTGGGTGAACTGGAGACATTAACACGACTGGATCTGAGCTTCAATAGCCTTATTGGTCCTATTCCAGTGACATTGGCTAATCCACCTAAACTGGAGAGTCTAGATATTCGAAACAATTCTCTCTCAGGCAGGATTCCTATTGGTAATCAATTTTATGGGGCTATGATGATTTTTGGCTTTCTATCTTGATTTATTTGTGGAAAACTCAAGATTTTTATGTTAATCTAATTTGTATCCTTTTATGTATTAAAACAGCTCTAAAGAGACTGAAAGGTGGGTTCCAGTACATCAACAACCCTGGTTTATGTGGGACTGGATTTTCCAATTTAAATCTTTGTAAAGTAGTAAGCAGTTCAGACCCAGTTAGACCTGAACCATATGTACCTAGTAATCTTCCAGCATCAGTTGAACCAAAAGCTAATAACTGTAATGATACTCATTGTAAAAAGGAATCAGAATCTTTAAAATTTGGTTTGGCTTTTGGGGTGATTGGAGTTATTGTTCCTTCAACTGTTTCTGGACTTTTTGTGTTCTTATGGTACCGTCATCAGAAGCAGAAAACTTTAAGCACTGCTGACGTTTCTAATAGCAGGCTTAGTTCTGACAAGATGAAAGAAGTATGCAGGAAAAGAGCATCTCCTCTTATAAGTTTGGAATATTCTAATGGATGGGATCCATTAGCCAAAGGTGGAACTGGTTATTCCCAGGAAATGTTGGAAAGCTTTATGTTCAATCTTGAAGAGGTAGAACGAGCAACTCAGTGCTTCTCAGAGCTTAATTTGTTGGGAAAGAGTAATTTTTCAGCTATCTACAGGGGAATCTTGAGAGATGGATCAATTGTGGTTATAAAATGCATCGCCAAGACAAGCTGCAAGTCTGATGAGACTGAATTCTTGAAAGGTTTGAAGATATTGACCTCATTAAAGCATGAAAATCTAGTTCGGTTCAGAGGCTTTTGCTGTTCAAAAGGCCGCGGGGAATGTTTTCTGATTTATGATTTTGTATCAAATGGGAGTTTGTTACAGTATCTTGATGTGAAGAGAAGCTATGCTAAGGTACTTGAATGGTCCACCAGAGTATCCATCATCCATGGTATTGCCAAAGGTCTGCTTTTATTTTCCTTCTTTGTTGAAAATTTTATTAAATATATTATTGAACCTGGAGACTATGTTCTAATTCTCCTTGATACATTTACCTAAGCATACTTATTTTCCCCTTCATGGAAGGAGAGCAACTGGTCCATGGAAGCCTACCATGATTAAACCATAGAAGCTCATAGTTGTTAGTGATTCATGAGGGCCTTAGATGAGATTAAGTTAATTGGCCTTTGCCCTTTTAAGCACATCCCCTTTCAGTGATCATTTGTATGTAAATACCTATTTTACTTATCAAATTTCATGTTCTATTAAAATTTAAAAACTAAAAAAAACATAAAAAGAATGTGAAGTACTCATTTTTTGGATTTCATGACCCTAATTATTCCTTTAGGTCTAGTTAGGTTCCCCCTGTATTCCCAGGACCTAGCAAAGAAAGGGACCTGCACGCCTGCATAGGTATGAGATTAGTTCCGAGTCAAGTTGCATGTCAATTATCCAACTCTAGCCCCATTGGTCCTCTCCAGGATTTAAACCCCTTCTCTTTTGGTAGTTTGTCCCTCATATTGCCACTTGAGCCAACCCTCGGGTTGTGAAGTACTCATTTTTTGTGCTATTTGGGTCACTATCATGCAACACTTTTAGTGTCGTCTGCAGAAGTAACACATTTTCTGATTCTTTCCTATCCAGGTATTGGTTATCTGCATGGAAGGAAAGGAAGAAAACATGCTCTAGTTCACCAGAATATATCAGCTGAAAAAGTACTTCTTGATGCTCGGTATAATTCCTTACTTGCAGATTCAGGATTGCACAAACTCCTTGCAGATGATGTTGTTTTTTCTTCCCTCAAAGCTAGTGCAGCCATGGGATATCTGGCTCCAGAGTACACATCAACTGGTCGTTTGACCGAAAAGAGTGATGTGTATGCATTTGGGGTGATAGTTTTCCAGCTTCTTACTGGAAAGCGTAATATCAGTGAGTTAAGTCACCAATGGGTAGAAAATGCTAGTATTAAGGATATAGTTGATGAGAATCTTGAAGGGAAGTTCTCAGAATCAGAGGCAGCCAAACTGGTTACAGTTGCTTTGCTTTGCACCCATGAATCACCCCATCACAGACCATCTATGGACAATGTAATGCAAGAGTTGGATGATAAACTGTAGCAGTTCTTTACACGAAGAAATGATATTTTGCCTTGCATTTGTGGTTGAAATGGGTATAGATGGAGTCATTGTAAAATATTATGATTTCCTGAGAAGTGAAGTATGTTGAAGTTGCTCTGTATGATAGTTGAGAACATGAACTGTAAAGGGGAATTAATTCCTCATGTAAAAAAGGAAGGTTGTCTATAGTATATTAGAGTTGTCTCAAAACAATTCCGTTTTGCAGTTGATAATTTAGTAGCATATGTTGAAGTAATATGAAATTACTACGTGGAAAATGAAGAGTGATAAAAAAAAGGGGTTGTTGACACATCTTGGAGGCTATAAAAGAAGGCATCTTGAAGAAGAAAGAGATCTCCAAAATTACAAAAAATTTCCAAATTTGTTTATTTCTTTTCTTTCTCTTTTAGCTTTCTTTGTTCTGAGATTTATTTTTCTGTCATATTTTCTTCGTCATTTCTGTTTTTTCTTTGTTGTCATAAATGGCAAGAGTTAAGCTTCTTTTTGGTTGAGGAATACAAGTATCCAAGTTGATATTTTTAGTATTCTATTTTCTAGGTTTGTAGTAATGAACCGTGTGTTTATTTGAGTGACAATATGTTCGCTATTTTGACTAGTGTTGGGTAGTAATCTTAGGGACTTGTTTACAGAAAAATATTTTACATAACTTGATTTAAACTGTGTGTTCTGATTTTTGTCTTTACAATTATTCATAAACATCCTTTCGAAGGTGTTGCAGCACATACTCACAAGGGGTTTTAAGCTTTGAACAAAGAATTGATGGAGATGGATCTAACATAGAAATGTGTTAAATGGAGTTCTAAGGGATTAAATTAAGTTGCTTGGAAAAATTTGCATTTATGCTACTGTAACCTGAGAAACGATTTCATTGTTATGACACGGCACTGAAAATTCTTGTTCATTTTAGCAATAATATTGTTGCTTTCTAACTAACTTTTTGTAGCATCATCTTGGGAATTTGTTTGCTGAAAAGTAATAAGTTTTGTAACTCGAGATTGAAGTGTGTGTAGTGGTATTTGTCTTTGCACTTATTTCACTAAATGAGTTTAAGTCATAAGGTTTGAACTTGAATTGAATTCCTGGAGTTGAATCTAACATATAAATGCGTTAGATAAAGTTTAAAAAAAGTTAGATAGGAAACTGAATTGAATCTAACTTGAATTTCTGGAGTTGAATCTAACTTGAATTGAAATTCTGGAGATGAATACCAAGAGGTTAAATTTTTTTTTTACTAGAGAAATGTAATTACCAGGGATCTGCAGAAAAACTGAGATAGATAGGAAAGTTTAAAAAAAGTTGTTTGGTTGGACAAAATTTTATGAAGAAAATTGAGTGAAATTTCTGAATCTGTGTTTGGTTGAAGAGAAAATATTGATGAAAAAATTTATTAAAATTACAAAATAACCCTTTTAAAAATATCCACATAGCCACATAACCCTTTTGAAATTACAAGCAAGTGTCCCAACCACAATATCCACATATCTCGTCTTTGACTTCATATCAGGAGCTCCCTCTTGGACCGGCATCTAATATGCACAAGAAAAATACAGTCAGAACTTAAACATGACAAAAAAATGGATAGAGCGGAATGAAAGAAGCACACACATTATTGGCATATCCAGGTTGAGATAATGGACCACCACCAGATGGCTGGCTGTTGGGATTCTCTATATCAAGGAAGTTATTCTCTATATCAAAGGAAGTTAAATGTAGATCCAATATTCCCAATATGTTGTTGTGTGCCTTGTTGATGTGGAAGATGATTGCTAATTGTGTGAACAGATACAATAAGATACAATATCACGTATGACGGTATTCTTGTCAATGTTTTGTACCCCAAAATAACTTATTCGGTTTTCAGAAAAAATACCACCTTCCAAGTTGTTTTCTGGAACAGTGTTTTTGTTGCTTTTTACATGCAATTGTCGATAGCTAGACAATTGATATTGATGGGTAAAATTCATGACATCCGTGAACCAAATGTGGAGAATGGAAAATGCAGGAATCACTTTGCTGGGAAACTGTAAGAGCCCAATGTGAAGGATCAGGCCCACTTCCACTACTGGATGAGACCTCCAAACGTAAATGCAGGCAACCCGGCTATTTGAAGGAGTATGAGACAAACTAAAAATGTTATTGGACTTTAAGAGATTTCTTTTAATACAGTGTTTGTAACAGACCCTTTTCAATTTCTATGTTTACGTTAGTAAATGGGTGGCCCAATAGGAATAGGGCACTATATGTAGCATGAACTGTGAATTAAATGCAAGAAGAATTTGACCCACTTCTCTCTCTATTCTCTCTCTTCCTTATCTCACTCTCTTCTCCGATTTCTTCTCCTCTTTTTTCCTGAGATCTGGGTTTCTAAGCATTACATTTGGTGCTCTCGTTGCTTACTCCACCTCCTTTTTCCATGGCGGAAAACACCCGTATGAGGGATATCAATAAAAGATTGGACACATTGGAACAACAGACACATCGCTTGGACATCCTTGAATAGCAATTGCGCTCTGCTGAACTGGTACGTGAACAACAACATTTGGACCTTCAAGAGTCCAATGCCAATCTCCATGAGTTCCAAAATCAAATTAAACAAGCTTTACAGCGGATTCTTGACGGACAGCACATTGGGGGTTACGCTAATTCAGGCATACTGGGTTCTGGACTAGGTTCAAAATCTGGCACTAGCAACTCAGATCTGACTAGGAAACGTCCATTTAAACTTCTTTTCCCCAGATTTTCCTCTGGTGATCCCACTTCATGAATTTTTGCTGTAGAAAAATACTGCCAATATTATCAGATCGGTGATGATGAACGTTTATTAATTGTTTCCTTCCATTTAGATGACCCCGCAACTTGTTGGTTTAGGGGTCGGCTTCTTTTCTCACCGCCATACATAGACGATTTGGTCCGTCTGAGTTTGAGGAACCCATTGGTACCTTAGCCAAACTACAACAATTGGGTTCAGTTATTGATTATCAAGCTGCATTTGAAGCTTCTGCAAACAAAGTTCCTGGATTGTCAGCCACTATGAAACGTGGTCTCTTTATTTCAGGAATCAAACCCCGTATTCGTCGTTCGGTACTTACACAACGACCCCTGGATTGGCATGAAGCCTTAGCCTTAGCCAAAGTTTTTGAAGATCAGCTTGCGGAAGACAAACCTTCACGACAGTGGGCCCCAAGACAGTCTACCCCCACATATTCCTACCCCCAATCCCAAATCCAATTCCCCTCACAACCTAAACCCTCTAATACTTTAACCCTATCAACCAATACTCAACCTAAACCTATCCCAGCCATCCCTATACGTCGTTTGTCCCCAGCTGAGATGCAAGTACGGAGAGAAAAAAATCTCTGTTTCAATTGTGATGAGGATTGAAGCCAAGTGTCCCATACCCTGGTACCGGAGGGATGCCTATATAATGCGTGCTCATTCATATGATTACTTATATTATAATTCGGTTTCCAAACTGGATGCACAATGCTGTATGCCATGATATGCTTCGCACACACAAAAGAAACAGATGAATTATGTATTTATGCATGACTAGATCATCATCATAATAGCATATACTTCATGTACTTTTAATACCAAACTGCCGCATAACAATTACTTATCATAACAGAAGTTCCATCATATCAAGTCCATAGGCAGAATACATATAACATATAACAGAGTACACATCCAAGGCACATGTGAGCAACAATTCACAATTCCATACACTAGCTAATAGTCACAATAGGTCTCACCACCAAACACTTACCTCGCGTGCCACAAATATTACCAAACAACAACAAAATAGTCCATGATCTTAAGGGTTTAGTGCACCTAATATACCATTGTACCAAGTCAGAATTTTATATAATTTTTACTATAAGTCACAAATAATTTCAAGGCTTCTAATCCTTGTACCATAATCGAGTTATGATGCTACTAATGTCAATTATTTTTCTGCCCTTAATGTTACCTCACCCATGTCTAGCAAATAAAATTTCCCAAAGTATCATACAAGTATATAGGTGCGGTCCTTAGCATACCAAAGTGTTCAGGATTTTATTTTCATAACTCATACCATTACTTGCTAACACATAAGAATTTTCCAGGGTCCCCACACACACACGCAGATTCGGTTTTAGCCAACAATTTGATGCTTTCTATTTTTCCTTTACCCAAAATCCTACTCACATCATTTATGCATGAAGGTTAACATTATAACATGCTATTTTCAATCTTTCAACACATACAAGGTTGGATATTATTGTCTATTACAAGAAACGGTCCAAAACCGTTGAGGAGCACTATTCCAAGCTCCCAAAGGGATCAATTTCAGTTTACCTATACTACTTTCATGACTGTTCACACAATTTCATTTTAAGGCTTACATGCATTACATCCTAGGGCTGTTCTAAAAGGGCAGAATCCAATGGAAGTAAATGACCAAAAATAATATGTTCCCTAACATGCATATGCGGCTGAACGGATAATAAACAAGGAGAGGTTATTTGCCTGACTTACATCTACTTGTAAAGAACCCAAGTTTTACAAATCGATTATAGAGGGCAGTGGCTCCAAGCTGCGCAAGTTCTCCCTTTTCTACTGCTCCAAGGAACCGAGTTCTGTGGCACGCCATGGAAGGAAAGACCCAATCAAAACTGGATTGAGGACATGCAATGGAAAAATTCCTTTAGAACCAAAAGGAGCAAGATGAGACAGAGAGGTAAGGAAAACACCCTACCTCCTCGCATGAAGTCAGACTCTGTGCACAAGGGAGACGGAAGAATGATGCTGGGTTCTAGTCGCGGTCTGCATGCAGTGGAAGGCAGCACCAAATCGGACTAAGTCATGTGTATACAGGGAAACTTGGTCAGCACCTATCGTGTAGGAAGGAATCATAAAATGGATGAACATCTCACCTCCTGGTTGATGACTGCTCGGCCGAAAGGGGAAGGGAATGGCAATGGGACTTAGGTGATAATTTCCCTCTCAAGGGACTCACGGTCGTGGGGGAGATGATGGAGTGGCTGAAACGGACATGCAAGTTTGGCAGTGGTTAATCTGGTCGAAAATGTGGAGGAAGA